ATTGTTAGTATCGGCAATTAGAAAAAAAAAAAAAAAAAAAAAAACTCAACGAATGTATAGATTGTACTGGTACATACTCCAACACGAATTTCGGGCAACGATTAATGTAAATGACAATAAATATCTTCGAAACGACTTGTCGATAAGTCTCCGACAGTTTCGCAACGACGGGGCGTATAATTAGCGTTCCTCGACTATTTTCAGAAATACTCGAAAGAAAGTTTCCTCACCCACCCCTGAAGCGGAGCAAAGCTTTGTTTAAAATTTTTTATTTTTTTCCTCAAGCTCGAGTCCCTCCCGAACGTAAATACCTGAAAGTCGAAAAAACCGCAGCGAAAAAGCTCTTGCTTCGCGCCCTCAAAATTACTCCAACGGATCGGAAAAAAAAAAAAAAAAAAAAAAGCTTCGCCAGTATCGGGACAGCCGTACTTTGGTATGCAATTTCGCGTGTTGGTCGTGTCCACTGCACCGGAGCCTGTTAACAATATCGCCCACGTACCGAACAGCAGGACCCACCCGGGGGGAGGGGGGGCATATCTCCGTCTCGTGCAGCCCGTCACGTCATATAACGCAGGATCGAGCGAAAGCACATTATACAGGCTATAGGTGTACATACACAAATATATATATGTATATAAGCGCCAGCAAAAGCGGCCGACTGCTCCAAAGCTCCGTAACAGGCGCCAGTCGAGGCTCCGACGCCGATGGGAATGGACGCCCCCGCGCTCCTCTCGCGATACTCCACGTTGTTTTACCCACATCGCCTCCAGCTCTCACCGTAAACAATTGTACCAATCATACACTCATCTCCCCGTGAGCGAAGCGCGAGTGCGCCCCCCAACCCTCGCCGTACAAAGTGCAGTGCGTGACATAGTCCATTTTGACATTGGTGGAGAAAAAGCGGTAGGTATATATCCTTTATACAATATACCGAGTGCGCTCGCAACGCGGGGCCGTACACCTATATACGCCGTGCGCGTGTAAAATATGTGTATTGTAAGGTGGAAAGGGGCCAGCTGTTGAATATCCAGGACACGCGTGTAAGCTGCACGACGAGCGAGGGAGATGATCCTTACCTCGGGAAGACCTTCCGTCTCCCCAGCGACTGTTATTATTGTTGCCGTGCTCTCTGGGATTTTGCTCGCGTCGGGGGGGGGGGGGAATAAAGAAAAGAAAAAATGGTACTCTCCGGTGGCTCTGGAGGGAAAAAAAAGTAGGATGCACCCGAAGGGATGCAGATCGCCCTTTTACCCCCCTTTCTCTCGGGGGAGGATTATTTTTTCTCCTCTCCATTCCCATCACGTGTCGCGAATGGATACACCGTGCCGGGGCCAACAGTTTAAGGGGGGGAAAGTTGAGCGAAAGGGTATAGGTCGAGGAATGCGGGGGCCATTGGAAGTTTATCGGGGTGGAGGGAACTTTTCCTCGTTTCGCGTAATTACAGCCGAAGGATCCAAGTCGGCAACTTCGGGGATGATGAATCACGTTGGAGAGCTTTTTTTTTTTTTTTCTTTCCTTCCTTCCTTTCGTTTTCGTTTGGGTATATATATAATATCTTGCGAGCGAGAACGAAAGAGAGTTTTTCTTTCTTTTTTCAATGAAAAATCGCGTAAAGCCATAAAATTTCGGTAGCACCACGCGGTGATTGGTTTCCACAAGTTGGCAACAATCTATTGATGATGAGTCCGCGAACATTGATATATCGATCATCGGATGTATCTGTTCCTATACGTATATTGTAAATTTTGACACTTTGATTGAAGCATGTGTTAACACACGATGGTATACCATTTATGTGGCGTCCCATTTTCATGTATTTGATTTACTCAACAAGTTTGTACCCATGCAGTTGTTTGGCAATTCAACTCGTATACTTACGGTTTTATAGTGGAGGCGCAGTGCGGATTATGTTTGGGCGAAGAAGGTGTTTTTGGGGGGTAATAAACACACTGGACGCTCACGTGAGCGAACGAATTGAAAGTCACACGAGCAACGAGTAACGCTTTTTTTTTTTTTTTTTTTTTCTTTTTCGCTTTTTCCACGCCACGTATACTCTCTTTTGTACGGATATCACGTACGGTGCATCGGAGGGCTCTTGGAATCACATTTATACGCCCGTTGATGTTGCCATATGAATTTTTTTGCCAACAAAGTTAACAGGAGTGACTGAAATAAAAATTTTAAAAAGTGAACCATCGCTCCTCGCAGAGTTTCAATTCAAGCAAAAGGGCCGAAGTGTATATAAGTGATATTTCGTGCAACCCTAAGTATATAATATATGGGTCACTCTGTCGTTGTTGAAACACGATTTTTTTTTTATGACTGCTGTATCAAATTAACTATACGATTGAAGCTAACTGTATATTATCGGATTTTTGCACTAATATAATGGAAACAAAACATTTATCAGTTAGAATTTATATCACTTACACCAACTTAAATGTTCACGTTGCAGATCGGTAAGAAAAAAAAAAAAATGTTCCCCTTTTTCACCCAAATATCACAAGTTTTGGCAGAACGCAGTTACATCTCTCTGTCGAATTGATCGTCCCGAAAAATTTGCCGTCAATTCCAATACCTTCACTTACACCGAAAATATCGCCGCAGCAGTAACGGTAACTCCTTTCTCCTTCCAGGGCATCGGTAATATTGCAGATGGCACATCGAACCGCAGATACGTAAGGTCCTTTTTTTTTTCCCTGCTACGAGAGGTTTGCCGACCCCAAGATTGCAGATGTAGGTGTACATGTATACGGTAGCGCGAGATCGATCGCTCAAACAGGTCAGCTGCACACAGAGCTCTGTGTTTACTGCACAGCAAGGCGTGAACCCCAAAGTGATTGCACCATTTACCGACCGGATTCCCATTATATTGGGATTCATCCTGGGCTCACTTATTTCGTTTAAAGTGCCGATATTACATTCTTGGACCGTTTTTTTTGTCCATAGTGCACATCGCGACGTATATTTCAGCTCTCTAAAGCTAGATCAGTCGAATTAGTCAATATGGACTAATTATAAGTGAAAAGTCGTTTACTTATAGTGATAAGTAAACGACATTTTACTGATTCGCAGTAAAATTTGACTGATTCAACTTTAGAGAGAGCGGCAAGGTTACTTCGTACTTTGGCTCATTCTGATAGAAAAAAAACTTTGATAAAAAACAGTTAACGTCACTTTCATTAAGCGCATTGCTGAATCATCAAAAATAACAGAAGCACTGATTTGCACTAGTTTGTGTATACTCGGTGACGTGAAATTTCAAAGATTGACCATTTCGTGGAAACCATCAACAAATTATTTAAACAAACGAATAAAAAAAAAAAATAATAATAATAAAAGGATAATTTAAACTGAAAAACGAAGGCGATAAATCGATCTCTAACAAGCTTTTTTTTTTTCTCCTTATTTCAATGCAAAATCCCTCGAAACACCATTTCCTTTTCACTTCGGGGAAGCAGTTCTCGTTATCGCAAGTACCTACCCCCAACGCAAAGCGAGAAATGAAAAACAAAGAACAAGCTTATGCCGAGGGGGCTTCCGTGCTTCCCCCCCCCCCTCCACCGGGATGCAATGGTTGTTGTTGTTATCGGCCGTTTCAAAGGATACACCTCGCCAATAAGGGAAAAATAAGGCGCCGGAAACTATGGCATCAAGTCCATTTTGTCCTCGTTACGAATCGACGCGTACGGGTATTCTCCAATAGCTCGTTACGGGCGAAAATCCGAGATGAAAGACATTACTTGGGCCGAGAAATGCTGTTATTCTTGCTTCACCTTTCGAGGATCTTTGTTGCGCCGAGTTCGAGGCCCGCGTCCTTGGGGATGATTGACATTACTCTTTTTTCCAGGCTAGTATTTTTATCTTCAGAAAAAGAAGCGTCAAAAGTAGAGCGACCGTTATTATTTCCATTTGATCCTCCTTGTACCCGACTGCTTTTACCGCGAAACGACTCGTCCACGAAATTACTCTTGCTGCAGCGCTTGATCAAAAAGAAACAAAAAAGTTCGCAACACTCGTCGCCTGCATCCTCGTAAATAAACGCCCTAATCGATCAGCGCAGCGGCAGGTCTCAAACTTCTCGAGGCCCCCCTCCTATACGACCAAAATCCAATAGTCCCTAATCTCTTTGCGATAGCGGCCGGCACGGCTCTCGAGCGTATAGGCACGAAATTCGGCGTCAAATTTTGATAAATAGAATCCGCGAACGAGCCTCGGGTGTTAGCTTGCAACGACGCATACATATGTGGCACTACTATTTATATAAAACGCGCGTCAGTCGTGCTGTATACGGAGGAGGGTCGCGAGTGGGTGAGCGGCTGGCGCTCGCTGTGGTACGTACAATGTACTCCGAGCCGTTGAATAATTCAATGGAAAATGATAAAGGCGCGAGGATGCGTTAAACGCAGGCCCATCTCTTTCTCCTACCTTCCCCCCACGCCCACAAGCCGGAGCTTTTAATTTCGAATTCGGCTTTTGTTTCTCCTCCTCTACGTGCATTTCGTGGGTGGGCAATTTTCCTCGGTTACAGCACATAGGCACTCACGGGCGTGGCTTTGATTCTCCTCTCCTCCGGTTACGTAAATAATGTAATGAGGAATTAACGAGCCATGAGATGCGAATGCTTGTCACGAGCTTTTCTCCCTTCCTTGCAGGCGTGTGTGTCTTTTTTCATGTACGCTTAATAAATTGAAACTTTTTTTTAACTACAGCACGTGTTTGTTGCAAACAGTTAGCGACGAATGTTACGTAGTTAGGCTAAAAAAATTAAGAACTGCAAATAGTGATTGTCGCGTCCTTGCCCACGGGAGGTTAAACAATGTGCTAATATTTCTACATAATGATATGGTAAATGGGAAAAAACAATTTTATACGCGGAATATTCAAAAGTACACTAAGAAAATAATAATAATAATAATAATTATAGGGAAATTCCGGTAAAAATTAACATTCTGCACAGTTAATCTAATGTATAAGCTGGCAAAAAAGGGAAAAATTTGTCATTTTTAAAAATTATTGTTTCAACGGTTAAAATTATGGTTAGAAGAGTGAAAACTATGGTTAGAACAGTAAAAATTTCAATACGGAAAAGTAAAATTCATTAACCGATCCTTTCAAGATTTACCGTTCCAGCATGGTAATTTTTACTGTTGTAAATGGTTTTTGATAATTAATTACGTTGATCAACTAGAGTTTAAATTTTCGGTATGAAAACACGTAACCACGCGAAAGTTGCCGCTCGAAAACAAACTTTTAACGAAACAACGTATATAACAAAGCAAGCGTATATATAGTTATACACTGCAGTAGGTAAGCGTATACACGGGTAGTTTCGTGAAAATTCGTACACTTGAACGAATGTAAAGAGACGTCTATACGGACAAACTCGACTCGATTACTAATATCTGTGCCATTTTTGTTGTACACCACCCAATGACTGCGAGTCACGGTAATAAATAACACCGCTTCGTTTGCCCGCTAAATCCACACATCATGTTACCCATTGCCCAAAATACGAGATTCTCGAAAAATATTAACTGGGACACGAGATGTAAAAAAATTGGTTTTTTTTTCGCAAACTGACCCGTACATGGGTATACAATTTACACTTACCAGAGAGAGCCCATTACGAGCAGCAGGAGCCGTATCGATCCGCCGCACTACACCCCGGCCCCGAAAACTCCCGCATCCTCCAGCCATCACCGGATCAGACGAATGAATAAACAAACGAGCGAGCACGTGCACCACCCGTAAAAAATTTTTACTCGGCCGATCCAGCCGCGGAAGCAGAGCACCTCCTCCGAATGCCAATTTTTACCCCGAGACCGTAGCCCACGCAGAAGAAGGAGAAAAAAGGGGGAGAATGTCGTCGAGAAACTCGTCAACGAAGCGAGTGCGGAAACTACCCCCGAGGCCAAAGATCAATCTGCCGGCCGCCGGGCAGTTTCACTTCCCTCAGACCCCGATGGGCTTCGTGGCGACGCCCTACGGACAGACATCGGTGCCCCTGACTCCGGCCTCGGGCCAGCCCCCCACCATCGTCTTCACCAACAGGACCAGCGAGTACGTGCTCGACTACATCAGGAGCTTCAAGGACTGGACCTCCGACTGGACAAAGTCCGGGCTGAGCGTCGGCGAGAAGTCCGCCTTCTGGATCTACGAGAAGGTAATCTTTTTTTTCCTCCCCCCACCGCTACAAAGCTCCATGATCGATCTTTTTTTTTTTCTTTTTTTTTCATTTGTTTGCAATGAACGCATTTTGAAAACGAATTCTTTCCCCACAAACGAGACTGGAATATCCTGTTGAAAAAAAGAACAAACTGACAATGAACGAGCGTGTAGGAGCGTATTGGTCCGATGGAATGAAGTAACGGCGTATTTTTCTTCGCTGCTCGATTATAAAGTTCACTATAATATCTAAGCGTGCGCGTCATCAGAAAGTATAATGACCGGTTACACCGACGTATATACGTTTAAAAAAAAAAAAAAACACTCGCTTGATTCCATTGCTACCGAAACTAGGCGAAAAAAAAATCATGACGCTAAATATAGCCAAACGTGTTGATGTACTCTCACACCTCGCAAAACACACAACTTTGTCTGACCAATAACGCCCATTACTACTTGCGCCTCGTCTCCGTCCCGTGAGAGCAGCGAAAAAAAATCGGCTCGAAATTATAATTTTGTTCCACCTCCGTCGTGTAAAATATACTGCAAAAACGTACACAACTTCCTTAATGAGTTTTAAAACCGCGGACACGCGACTCCCTCGTTCGCACCGATAGCGCGAAATATATAGGTCAAACGAGCGTTCGCTCGCACCCACTGACGGTTATACATTCCGCGTGGACCGCCTTTTCTCCCTTCGTTCCGCGCCAACTGAACGATACAATGACATATTATTGTGAACGACGCGCCGAGCGATGACACTGTACATTGTACATGTTATATATAGCGAGCGGCTACTGATTAACGCTACAAACCGCGAATAGCCCCGCGACGTCTACACGCGTCTTCTTCCCCCCCCCCCCCCGCGACTCCGGGTTTTCTATATCCATTCTGGAGCTCGGCCAGAATTTAATGGTCTCGAAATACTTTAGTTCATTTTTCGGCTCGTCGTGCGCGCCTACATGTCGCACATCTACCCACGAGCATACCTTGTTAAACGCCGAGTGTGTCGGCGGATTTCCTTCCCCTCGCTTTTTTTTAATAATAGCATCGGGCTGTCGATCCGGAGTACAAGTTTTCTTTCGCGATGGAAGGGTAGACCGGCCGTAGGTATATACTCGTCGCCTATGCTCGTTTCTCGTTGCTGTCACTCTCGTTTACAATTCAATAAAGCGTCTTCACAGTATATACCGAGTACAATTAATCTTACGTTTTTTTTTTTTTTGTTTTTTTTTTTTCAATACAAGATGCAGTTATATATTTTAAGCACAACTTTGAGAGTAAAAGAGAGTAACTCGCAACTTCTCTGCTCAAGGTCAGCTCGTGGAGCAAAAGATGGTTCACGCACATCTTCCTCTTCTTCGTGTTGTTCCTCTACAGTGTACTCGGGGCTTTTCTATTTATCTACATCGAGGGCAAGCATGAGAACGCCGTCCAGCAAGACATCGTCAAGGAAAGGTATACGCCACGTTTTCTAACACCTCGCGACTGGTCTCGGTCGTATACTTATATACGTATAGCCTCGTCGAGGAAATCGAGTTACGTAACATTCATTTTTACTACATCCGCAGAGCTTTTGGTAATAATCATTCGGTGGATACGGTGAGTTTCGAGTTACAATTTATACACACGGATGATTCGTATAGGTATATAATATACACGTGCATCGGATTTTATTTGCTCAGCTTCCCCCCCCCCTTATCTAGTGCGTCCTGGTTGTTCGTACGAATCGGTACGTGTAAAATAAAGTCGACCGGTACAGATAAGAGCACGTGTACACATAATATCGACTTTCAAATTTTTTGGCGTGCACACGCTCGGAGATTAAATTGATAATACCATAGCCACGGTTCATCGTTTTTTTGGCTGAATACGATCGTTTGATCGCTTCATTTCCCAAGGGAGTTAGATACGAGTGACAAAAAGCAAAAAAATAAAATAAAATCTCGAGCTCGATGCGTGTGTGTACTTCCAGCAACGCTGCCAAATCGAAATAGTCCTGTACTATTTGTTGGCGTACGAGTGATAATCAAACTGGGGCAGTAATGTTTACTTTCATCCAGAGCGAGGTAAATCGTTGGGATTTTTTTTCTTCTTTACCTTTGAGTTCTCAATGTTAAATTACTCTTACTTTACCCCTCAGTTATTGAATCGCGGATTTTCAATATACTAATTCGTCACGGTCAAAAAAAAGAAAAAAAAATTAATAAATAGCAGTTGGTGCTTCCTGAAAACGATTGCCGTGGGGATCTACATAAAAACCAAAATGGCCTTGCGTTACAAACCGATGCATCTTTCCCAACCATTTTCTCCTTTGAGGAAATAAAAAAAAAAAAAAAAAAAAAAGAAAACAAGCTTCAAACCCCTCGATTTTTGAAACAAAAGAAAATAAAGAAAGTGCACCGATGGAGCCGGAGCGGCGAATGAAATTGCACGCTACATGTACAACCCTGTACAAGCACGCAACAAACGCAGAACAGCAGCCTCGACCCTCGAGCCGCTTTGGGGTTAAGGTCTTCGCGTCCGGCACACAATATCGAGACAACGCGATCTCAAATATATACATCGCATGTATATATGTGTTACAGTTGATACACGCGGAGTCTCGATTTCACTTTTTTGCCGCCTGAATAATTGAGAGCTTTTCCGTGCCCTTTCTTGGCAGGGCTCGAGTAGTGAGCTTTTTTTTTCATTAATTTTAAAAAATACACACGTTAAGCTCGCAACGTAAATGCCCTTGGCTCGGAAAAAGCGTACCGGGGAAGTATATATACACTTGTTGATTCGCCGGGGAAAATCGGATGAAATTTACTGCAAATGGAGCGAAATGTACTTGTGGATGGTCATCGACTGGTCGATGAAAGTGAAAAAAAAAAAAAAAGTATGATTTAATACCGAAACTCTCGGGAAACAGAGTGGTAGGATTGTATTGTTTATCAAAATTTATTCGATAAAAAAAAATTGACATCATTTTCCGGTTGGACTAACTGGGAAACCGTGAGATTCATTAGTGGCGTTGTAATTAACAGGTGATTATCACGCGAGCGGGGCCTCTGAGACGATTTATTTAAATAACAGTGTCGCTTTGTTCGAAAATTTATTTGACCAACAAAACAAAAATGTGTGATGATGATGATGTTTAAACATTCAACAAAGAGAAACAAAAAATAAAGTCGCGTATATCGCGTGAGATGATCGTAAAGGAGGTCCTTTGCTCACTTCTCAACACTTACGGGGAAGGAAAGCACTTTGGGGTCATGGTATATATATATATATACCTACGTGCAGGACACGCTAGTTAGCGATAGTTTCATTTCCTCGCACAACGGGTTCTCGTTTAACACAGTGCGGCTTTTATTTTTTTTTTATTTTTCGTTACTGGTTCAGGGCCAAAATAATTATTTGCAATTGCAGGCTTCGTGATTTTTTTTTTTTTTTTTTTTTTCAATGGAACTTTTGCACGCAACTTTTTTTTCCCCCAACGCGCGACACGATAATTTTCGGTAACACGATGTAAGGTAAAGATGGCATTGACAAAACGTGTAATTGGAAAAAAAAAAAAAAAAAAAAACGGAAAATCGTTACATTGTCGCAGGGACGAAATGATCGAGAAAATAAGGGACCTGTGGAACGACAAGGAACTCGCCGAGGACTCGGAGAAATGGAAGGACTCGGCCAAGAATCACCTGATGCTCTACGAGGACAAGCTCCACCAGTTTCTCAAAAAGTTGAATTTCCAAAATCGTCCCGATAGCGTCAACTGGGCCTTTTGGAACGCCGTTATTTACTGCAGTACCATTTACACGACCATCGGTGAGTTTTTTCCCCCTTTATTTCTTTTTTTTTATTCATCCAAGTCACGTATATGCATACCTATATACTTATCATCGTTGCATAAACACGTTATTTCCACACTCGCTTGAAAAAGGTAAGAAAAACATTTTAAACCGTATGAAACGCTTTCGCCGGAAATGGAGAGCAAAAAAGTATCTATATACCCCCGAGCGACGACGTCTCATGCATAACACCCCAAGCCCGTTCCAATGTCCCTATAAAACACTCCAACTGCGTATAATATATATATGATATAATTCAAACATCAGTCCAGGCGCGATCGAACCGACAAAGGGTCCCTTTTACCAAGCCTTGCCACTTTATTTTTTTTTTTTATTTTTTTTTTTCTTCACCCCCGTAGGTAGGTATTAAAAATCTCAACAACAGAGTCGACACTTTTTCTTCACCCCCCCCCCCCCCC